GAGAGAGTATGGAGGAGGGGAAGTATTCAAAATTTTTTGGGGGTGGGCGTGTCAGCGGTGGGTCTATGAAAGATAGGGGAATCATAGAATTGATGAGGGGAAAAAAAAAGGGGGTGGTGCACTTAGGAGTCTGTGGAGACAAAGAACTTTTTCCTTGGGGGCAAAGAAGGGGAAATGTATGAGAGTTTAGTTTTACCAACGCTCTTTATGGGTGTTGAAGCGTCGGGTTGTGATGAATGTTGCAGCGAGGAGATGATGGAGGCAGTGGGAGATGTCATGTCTGAGGGTAATGTGTGGTGTGAATATAATGCAGAGAATTCGTAGTTTGGAAGTTTAGGAGGAGCGGGATTACCAAAACTGTTGTCCAGAGGGCTGGGAAGGAGTTGTTGAGGTTGGTTCGGACATGTAGAGAGAATGGAGCGAAACAGTATGAAATTCAAGAGTGTATCAGTCGGTAGTGCGGAAGGAAGGCGGGGGTGGTAGGGGTGGCTTTAGGAAAGGTTTGGAGGGAGGGGGTAAAGGAGGTTTTGTGTGCGAGGTCGGGCTTTGGACTTCAAGGAGGCATGCATGAGCGTGTTTGATAGGTGTGAATGAGACAAATGAGTTCTTTAATTTCTTGACGTGCTGTTGGAGTTGGAGCAAAGTAACATTTATTGTAGGGATTTCAAGGGAAACCGGCCAGGCCGGACCGGACTTGTGTCTGGAGATGGGAATACAGTGCATTGCACTCTGTGGAGGGGGTGTTAATGTTGCAGTTTTAAAACTGTAGTGTAAAGCATCACTTCTTTTTTTTTTTATGGCAAGGGACAGTGATGGGAGTGAATGTTGGTGGAAGTTATTCTTATTCGGGCATCCATTGACCTTGGTGGGAATCGGCCAGTGTGATAAAAAAAAAAAAAAAAAAAATTTTGCACATCTCTTTTGTCCCATTTGACTTTATACAAAGGATCTGTGCATGCTCTCTGCCAATCCATAGGTACCTTACCATATTCCATAATTTATTAAATAAGTGCACCAACCAACTTCCAAATACAATATCACCCACCTGCTTTAACATTTCTAGCTTTATAACATCATCCCGGATGCATTACCCCTTTCTTTTTACCTACTGCTCACGAACTTCACCCCCCACACTCACAACTGGCTCTTCCTCACTCCTACAAGATGTTATTCCTCCTTGCCCTATAACGAAATCACCAGCTTCCCCTATCTTCATCATCTATACAATCCTCAAAATATTCTCCATTTCCCAATACCTTCAAAATCTCCATTTAAATACTATCCTCTCTATTTCTTTAACTGACAAAATCCATTTGTTCGCTCGGCTTCCTTAACTTGTTAATTCACTCCAAAACTTTTTTTATTTTCAACAAAATTTGTTGATAACATCGCACATCTCTCATTTGCTCTCTTTTTACATTGCTTCACCACTCTCTCTAACCTCTCTCTTTTTCTCCTTATACTCTTCCCTCCTTGCATCACTTCTACTTTGTAAAAATTTTATCATATGCTAACTTTTTTCCCTTACTATCTCTTACATCATCATTCCACAATCGCCTCTTCCATCCTGCACCCACTTTCCTGTAACCACAAAAACTTCTGCTGAACCACTCTAACACTAAATTTTTTAACGTTACCCCATAATTCCTTCGACCCCATTGCCTATTGCTCTCATTCAGCATCTATCCTCAATAGATGTTTATAATCTTTCCTAACTGCTCCTTTTAGTTTATAAACCTTAACCTCTCTCTTCTGATGCTTTATTCTCCTTGTATCCATCTCCTTTTACTCTGTGTAGCTACATAGAAAGTGATCTGATTATATCTGTGGCCCTTATAAAATGATCATCTGAAGTCTACTCAAGACTTTTATCTACCAATACATATCCAACAAAATACTGTATTTCGCCCCTACATCATATCTTGTATACTATTTATCCTCTTTTTCTTAATATTGTATTACCTATAAACTAAACCCCTTTCTATACAAAGTTCAATTCATAGGGTCCCAATTTAATTCATTTACACTGGCACCCAAAACTTACCTACCACACCCTCTCCTAAAGTTTCTCATTCTTTAGCATTCAGATCCCTACCACAAATTTACTCTCTCACTTGGTTCAAAGAGCTCCTATACATACACACTTACATCTCCCTAATCCTCTCTCTCCTCTGCTTCCTCTCTTCTCAGGTGCATACAGCTTATTATGACCCACTTTTCGCAATCCAACCTTTACTTTAAATCAACTAATTCTTGAATTTACACATTCATTATTCTTTTTCTCTTCCATAACTGATCATTCAACATTACTGCTACCCCTTCCTTTGCCTCCTAACTCTCTGATACTCCCAGATTTAATCCCAATATATTTCCCCCCACCGAAACTCCCCTACCCTTCAGTTGGTTTCCCTTTGGGCCTGGACATCCAAATTCTTTTAATTCATAACAACAGCAATCCATCTGTTTTTTTGTTATTGCACTACCTACACGCACTTTAAGAATCACAATTTTATTAACGTTTTTATGCTTCTCTATACGTTTTTTTTTAGTAAATGTCTAAAGGAGAAGGGGTTACTAGCCATTGCTCCACGGCTTTTAGTCGCCTATAGAAACGCATGGCTTACGGAGGGAAGATTATTTTTCACTTCCACATGGACAATAGGAAGAAATAAAGAAGCAACAAGAGCTATGTAGAAAAAGGACGAAAAACCTAGATGTATGTATATATTATGCATCGTGGTGTCTGTGAACGTGTGACCAAAGTGTTGTAAATTGGAGTAGCAACGATTTCACATGTTTTCTTGGTGTTTATGAGACAGATAAAGACACCAGCAATTCCTACCATCAGCCAAACAGTTAAAGGTTTCTGTTTCACAGTCTCTGGCAGGACGGTAGTACTTCTGGGTGGTTGACTGTCAACCATTTGCTCATATCACTAGTAAGTCCCTCGTCAAGGTCATTGATATATATTATAAACCATGTTGACTGTTTTTATACGAGTGGAAAATGTTTGTTACTAACGTATACACACAACAAATATAGGGTGCGCTGTAGAGGGCAGAGGTGTGTTGCCTGGGCGAGAACGAGAACGGCGACTAGGCTACGATCTCACTCCTTTGTATAGCGGGGTTGACCTGTGTAGAGACGGCACGAGGAGCTACGATCTCACTCCCTTGTATAGCGGTGTTGCCTGTGGAGGAGTCGGGCGAGGAGCCACGATCTCACTCCTTTGTATAGCGTGTTGCCTGGGGGAGAGAGACCGGCGGAGGAGCACGATCACACTCCCATTGATTAGCGGTGTTGCCTGTGTAAGAGACACGGCGAGGAGCTACGATCTCCACTCCCTTGTATAGCGGTGTGGGCCATGTGTTGGAGACCGGCGAGGGAGCCACGATATCACTCCCTTGTTTATAGCGGTGTTGCATGTGGTAGAGACCGGGCGAGGTGCCACGACTCTCACTCCCTTGTTATAGCGGTGTTGCCTGGGGAGAGACCGAGGCGAGGCAGCCACGACTCACTCCTTGTTAGCGGTGTTGCATGTGGAGAGGCCGGCGAGGTGCCACAATTCACTCCCCTGTATAGCGGTGTTGCTTGTATAGAGGACCGGCGAGGAGCTTCGATCTTCAATCTCTTGTATAGCGGTGTTGCCTGTGGAGAGGGGACCGGCGAGGAGCCACGAATCCTCGCTCACTTAGGAGGCGTTAGTCCTGCGCAAAGAAATTTCGGTGGTGACATTTGGAGAGCGATCAACACCCGTTAACATAATCACTCCTTATACTATTCGCCGCGTTCTTGTTGCCTGGATTTTTTTATCTTATACAGGTTCATGCAACAATACATAAAGTAAGTAAAAGTAAGTTTATTCAGGTATACACAAATACAGTTACATAGAATTTTCATACTTAGCAGCATATGTGTAGAGAACCTAGGATAACACTAAAAAAGTCAGACAGTGCACTTTTTTCCAATGTGTGAGAATATTGAGTACGTTGTTATCGTCGTTTTTTTTTTTAATTTTCCTATGGTTTTAGACTTTTGGAACAGACAGAAAATGGCTTAGAATTCCTGTAAGCAAAAGTGTTTAGTTAATTTTTGGCAATAAAGAATTACGTATAACTGTTCAGCCTTTGATAATTTCGGGAATTGGGGAACCTACTAAACTTCCATCATATACACTGCTACCAAGGTTGCTTTTCTAGGCATAGAAAATGACTTACGGCACTTTATATGCCTAATCAGCCCTGATCCACCGTGGGCCTGGTCACGGACAGGCCTCTTGGGCGTTGACCCCTGAGAAACCCCTCCAGGTAAAAACGCTGTTGTTGCCTCTCAAATCATGTTCTGTGTAATGTTAAGGGTGCAACCTACCCTCTTAAAGACCAATTGTTTTATTTCAAATGGATCTTTAATAACATCTTCAACTCTAACCCTTGGATCACAAAGTATCTCTCAGACTTTGATGTGGAAGAAAATAACTCCGATGGGGATGTTATACAAAGTTTTCAAGCCTACGACGAGCTGGAATCCTGAGCATTTTTCTGACACCGTTAATGTTCTAAGTAGACCTCAGCTAAGGTGAAAAAATATCTTCCTATAGTTTTCCTTGATTTTAAATTTCTTGTCTTGAATTCCTAAGAGGGACCTTTCTTTAGCTCTAGTGGAAAAAAAAAAAAGTCATTCACCTCAAAAGGTTGCCTTAAAATATTGCCATATCCGGACGCTGTTCTCAAAAATCTATTTAAAGTCCCACTGTATGAATAACCTACGCAGTAAGTCTCTAGTTATTACATAGGACAGCTGCCATGGACAGTGTTCATAACCCCACAGAGGTTGCATGTATTCCTTTTTCTGGTTATTTCTCAAAAAGAAAAACCGGTTTAAAGATTCAAGTGTTTGATTTTGGGGGCTAGGAATGTCAAGCGATATAATAATTATTTCAGGTCTGTAAGCAATGTCAGCTTTCTTCTTTTAGAGATGCTAGAAGAGTACCCATGGTAAAGATGCCGATTATTTCGCGGTTTCCTTTCGGTGACGAAGTAGCAGTCGACATAGTAAGCCTTTGACTCCTACCTTTCTGGGGGGACAATACATTTTAACGTATAGCAGACTATTCTACTAGTTTCCAAGGATTCAGTAACTCTTAAATCAATCTCCCCCCCACTGCTTCAGAGGTAGCAGAAAGCCCTCTTATCAAATATATTATACGAGTGGGTATACCAGGAGAGTCCTCTCTGCTCAAGGTTATGAGTTTGCTTTGCTTGAAGCGTTAGCATAACTTTACGAATCTTGTGGGGTATTAAAACCATTATTTACAATTCCTTATCACCCGAGTTGCTGTATGGCACAGGACTTTAAGGTCTGAAATGCTGTATCAAATGGCGATGCAAAAGGAGTGCCTATTATAGAAGAATACACAAGTTCTCAACTGTGATTGATTTTCGGAAACAGACTTAACTCAGGCCTATCACCACGTCTTACTCCATCCTGAATCAAACATATACAGACTTCCCGACACCTATAGGTTTAATGCAATACGGTCCATGCCCTTTAAGGTTAGTATTCGGCGAGGCACGTATGTACGCTTGATCAGGAAAAGTTGTAGGTGTGTTTCCTACGTTTTGTCAATTTGGTAGCATCTATGTGGAGAGAAGCATTTGTTACACGGCCTGTTGTATTAGGAACATAAGAAAGAAGGAACACTTGCAGCAGGCCATGATATCGCGATGAACTAGTACATGTCTTGAGATCATGGACCTCACTGCGGAAACCCAAGATTTTTTTTCTTGGTTATAGTAGATTTCAGTACTTAATGTTTTTGTATCTCCAACAATTACTTATCTCCTCGCTTAGAAAACATTGATGCCTAGCGAAAGTTCAAGTTAACTACATCTAAAAAAAGATCTGAGAGCGTCTTAGGATCTGTTAAACTTCATATAGAAAAATTTGTTCCTCGTCTAATGTATTTACTCACTGGAAGGAATGTCTTAAATTCAGTGATAGCTTTGCATTTTTTGAGTCCAGATACAGTATGCGTGCTTCTTTGTCTCAGTTTCTCCTTTTATATAGTTCTACGAATGTTTTCTATGTATGTTCATAAGCTTGATGTTCGTGTCTATGTTGTGTTCACTGAGTCAATAAAAAATTGATTACTGAAAAGTACTTCACAATGGCCGTAAAAGTTAAACAAAGAATGTAAAACCCCTTGTATATTTCCCTTTAGAGATAAAGATGGTTTTATGATTGTCACTGATATTTGCTGAAAATTCATTGACAATTTGTGTTCCTTCTGTGTGGGATTTATTGTTCTAAATACGTGTGATGGAACACAATATAGTACCATGAAATCGGGCGCGGGCTGCCGCAGAGTGGCGTCGGTTGAAGGTAGGTAGACCATCAGTGGTGAAGTCAAGGCACCTGTGGGGCAGGACGAAGCCGCGTTGTCACTGGCCACTGCGTCCACTCGACCATCCATTGATTACAGAGAACAGTTCAGTCCAGCCTCCACATCTGTCTCTACCCACCGCCACCTGCCACAAAAAATCACATCTTACTGTTTATGGGTCACCAATTTCAGGAGCAACCCACATGGAGATTCAGTCTGATTTTAACCCTTAATAGTTGCAATACACACACACACACAATCACACACACACACACACAATACACACACAACAACACACACACACACACACACACACACACACACCACACACACACGCGCGCGCGCGCACACGCACGCACACACACACTCACACACACACAACAACACACACACAACACACCACTGCACAATAAATCACACACACACAAACACACACACACAGCTGGTCTCGGACCCTTGCAACCCACAAATACTAAGTTACACAGTAGTATAGATGGCTAAGGACTCGGACGATAAGGAGGTAGTTGAAGAAGCAAGAAATGGAATATCACTAGGAAGGAGGAAGGCCCATCGACACAATGTGGAAATTGACATATGCAGCGAAAGCTAAGGTCTGACCGAATTGTTGTTACAGAGGACTTTTGACACAAGGGGTTTTTTTTTTCCACACAAAAGATTAGTGCAAAAGATGCGAGGAACGTCAGGTATAACAGGGAAGATGGGCATACTGCAAGAAGATCGAGAAACTAACAGGGAATGCAGCAGCAAATCATGGTGCGTGTCGAAGTGTCAGTGTGCGGCGCTGTGATGAGAGGGTTTCCACAGGGTCAGTCCTAAAGACCCAATGATGTTCCTGGTATATGTGAATGACATGAGGACGGTTATTATAGACTCAGTAGTGTCCCTGCTTGCAGCGAATGTGAAGTTAATGAGAATTCAGGTCGGAGGAAGATAAGGCAGGAATCCTGAGGGATCTGGAGAGGTGTTGCACAGACTGTCCAGCAACTGGCTTCTGGAGTTCAACTCACCATGTGCAATAAAGCTATGAAAAATCGGGGGGAAAGGCAATGAAGACCGCACTCAAAGTCCCAGTGTAGGGAGGTTGAAAGACTACCAAACCTCACTCAAGGAATGGGTTCTTGAGCGTGTACAATACCGAGCACATATCTTGAGAAAGCCCATCAACCAAATACGCTGCAGCAAATGGGCAACTAGGGAATCTAAGAATATCATTCCGACATCTCAGTAAGGAGTCGTTCCGGACCCTGTACGCCGTGTAAGTCAGGCCCATATTGGAATATGCAGCTCCAATTTGGAGCCCTCGCCTGGTCATGCACATCTGGAAATTAGAGAAAGTGCAAAGGTTTGCAACGAGACTAGTCCCGGAGCTAAGGGGCATGTCTTGCGAGGAGAGGTTAAGAGAACTCGACCTGGCGACACTGGAAGACAGGAGAGATAGTGGGAGATACAATAACGAGATATAAAATACTAAGAGGAATCGACAAGGTGGACAGACAGGATGTTCCAGAGATGGGACACAGCAACAAGGGGACACCTTGATTTTTGCGAAATTATTGCATACACAAAATTTCACTTGCCTTATTTGGTAAGAAGTGCTTTGTTACTTAAGCCAAAATCGCAGTATTTTATATATATATATAATATATATATATATAATATATATATATATATATATATATATATAATATATATATATATTATATATATATATATATATATATAAATATATATATATATAACAGAGGATTAGCTCTGTGTGAAGTGAACAAAGTATGCATCCCTCTATCCACTGGACCACCATCCTTAAACACCAGGTGCTCAGCAGTACTTAGCGTGGTATCTTGGTGCTAGGATATTCGTGGTTATGTAGCCTCAGAGACTAATTTCAACCTCATCCTGTTTGGTGTACCAGCCTTCACTAGTATATATATCAATGAAATCACGAATCATTAACAGAACTGTGGCATGGCCATGACTTGAACTTGCATTCACATGCCCAGCCCTGTGTGGACTGAACAAAGTATGCATCCATGAAATTAGGTCTCCGAGTCTCCAGAACCAACATGCTCAGTACTATTGAGTGCCTGGTGTTTAAGGATGGTGCTCCAGGGTTTGGCATGGGAATGCAGGATAGAGTCCTAGCCAAGCCGCAGTTCTGGTAATGATTCAAAATCACTTGTTTCATGATTTCATTGTGCAACATTGCACAGCTCCTGATGACGCACTCAGAAGTGTGAAAGTACTTGAGCTAAAGATTTACACCACCCGTGATTTGTCTTGCGCGCGCGCGCGCACACACACACACACACACACACACACACACACACACACACACACACACACACACACACACACACACACACACACACTCGTGGAGGATTTCATGCAGTTTGAGCTCGTGTTTTGGGGGTAATTTCTGACTGTGCCATAAAGAATAGAGTGTGGGATATAGGCGTGTGCACGCATAAGAGTGCATATAATCACTTAAGCCCCGAAAAAAGGAAATATAAGTGATCACAGAAAAGAAAACAAAGGAATAGTGACTAAGTGTTTATGGGGGCCGTTGGAAGGGTGAACGGTTGTCAGGCCTTAAATAGTGTGCCATAATAACGTAGTGGGGTATTTTGAAGAATAAGTGCGACTCAAGACCAGGGAGATAAGAGATATGTATAGATGTCAGTAAATACAGTGAGTGAAAATATTAGATGAGCTAGAGACCACAGTGCCTACAGGAAGTTAGGGGAAAAATTACCGGGAGATGCATCAAGCATTTTCATGCTGGGACCCAGGACGACGACAACATTACTCCACTGCCAGCCGCAAGTAATATTCACCTAGTTTGAGTTGCATGGGGTCAGCACCAGTTTTAGCGGGAAAATTTGGGGGTCACTTTCCTCGAGCTATCAGAATTAAAATAAGCAGCATTTACGGGCCCATTTAATAGAATTTATTGAGGTTTAGGAGAGTTAAGCAGTTAATGATAGTCCTAGTATGAGAGGTCCTAGCGAAGCCTAGCATACAGAACTGAACGTAATTTTAGGCACAAGATAGTACAGTGGGAACCAAGAGATTGGGTATATATGCAAAACATATGTAGTACATTTTGAGGAAATAAGGACTGCTTAAACATAAACAACACACCACACACACAACACACACATATCACATTTCATAACACACACATACACACACCCAATATACACACACACATAATACACACACACATACACACACCCCAAACACACATACAACCCCTGCACATATATACGGGATTTCACAACTTTATGTGAATTTATGTAATTTTAGGCACACAAGACAGTACAGTGGAAACCAAGAGATAGGGTACATATGCAAAATATATGTAGTACATACAAGGGAAATAAGGACTGCTTACATAAAAGCACGCATACACACACACATACACACACACTAGGTGAAAACAGGATCTGCTGTTAGGCACTTAATAGCTGTAGCACACACACACACACACACAACCCCCACACACAACACACACACACACACACACACATACACAAAATATACAGGATTTCACACCTTTATGTGAATTGACCCTCTAACCTTCCTTCTCTCTCTGTCTCTTTGTCTCTTTTCTCCTTCCTCTCTCTATCATCTCTATTCTTCTCTCTC